CTTTTCTCAATTCGGGTAAAACATGAGGTTAATGTACACGGTACACGGTTAACATTAGAAACATAGTGTCGAGGAACATACACTACCAGTCACCTTCTCATTTAATGGTTTTTCTTTACTTTTACTACTTTCTACAATGTAGATACTGAATACATCAAATATATGAAGCAAGATATATGGAATTATGTAGCAAAGAGAAAATTAATAAATAACTCTATTTATGTCTTATATTGTAGATTCCTGAAAGTAGCCACCCTTTGCTACTTCATGTTTGACAGACAGTGATGTGGACGCTGTACCAAAGTTTTCAGTTTTAGTGTACCCTCATCTATGTCCACGAGCTGTGGGTAGTGAATGAGATCGTGGCTATGAGTGACAGATATGAGCTTCCTCTTAAAGGTGGTGGGGGCGCTCCCTTAGAAATAGGGTGAGGAGAGGTCACTTGGGTGCAGCTCAGAGTAGAGCTGCTACTCCTCCACATCAACATGAGCCAGCTGAGGTAGTGTGGGCATCTGATTAGGATGCCTCCTGAGTGAGGCGATTTGGATGTGTCCAACTGGATGGAGGCTTCAGGGCAGACTCAGGGCATGCTGGAGATTGTGTCTTTCGGCTGGCCTGGAAATGCCCTTGGTGTCCCCCCAGAAGGGCTGGAAGAGGTGGCTGGTGAAAGGGGGTCCTAGGCATTTCTACTTAGACTGCTGTGCCTACGACCCACATCTGGATAAATGGAAGAAGATGTGTGGATGGAGTGTTTCAGTGCAAAGTTCTTCAATTTGTTGACAAATCATTGACACAACTGCTCCATTTTGGAGCAATGGTGTCAATGAACACCAGGGACAAATAACCCCTTAAACAATTATAGTAATATTAAATCTGAGCAAAATCAGTAATTCCAAAATAAAAGACATAAAGTAGTTTTGGTGGTGGAGTTGACAAGAGGCGTAAATGGGTCAAATAAAACAGCAGAGTAACAATTATAACGGGTGCACTGGACGCCTGCATGAATATGATCAGATGTTATTTAGTGGCAATCGGCGAGTTAGCCAGATAAACATGATTGAAAATTCTAATGCAAGACTGACTGCACGTTCATGTACGGACTTGCTGCAGTTATTTCTGTCTCAGTGTGCATTTTGGCTGATGAATAAAAACATCTTTAAATATTTTGAGGCTGGATATGCAAATAGAAGTCCATGGGCAAAAATGCAGGAAGACATAAACCTTCAAATATAAGTGCAGATACGGTATACAGATAGTGTTTCACCTATCCGGTCATAAAAAAGCTCCATCCATAAATCCGTCAGGTTTTATTAGATACCCAAAAGCAAAAGGTATGTCAGACTGAGGGCTGTGTATTGATAGCAGAGAGCAATGGGGGAGCTGCTGCGTTTGGCTGAAAATGGTCTCTTCCTGTTTTTACTCAGAGACGATAAAGTCATAAAAAGGTTGGTCTTGTCGGTTCCTTCCTACACACACACACACACA